TCTGAAGAGTCCTGTGGGGTTCTGGAGAGTCCTATAGTGCTCTGTGGGGTTCTGGAGGGTCCTGAAGGGTTCTGGTGAGTCCTGGTGAGTCCTTTGGTGCTTATGAGGGCTCTGGAGGATCCTGTAGGACTCTGGGGGGTCTTTAGGGCTCTGGGGGGTCCTGTATGGTCCTGGAGTCAAACTCAATAGTCACTGATATTTAAGCTTAATCTGCATCACTTCCACAAAGTCCCTGAAATGAAAGCTCGAACAGGAAATAAAGCTTTTATTTTGAAACTCAGCAGCGGTTCTGTGCAGAAATGGCGTCTTCAAGTTTCAAACATCATCTCTGATGTTGTCTCTTCTGTGACGAGCGTCTTTATCCCGATGACTTCAAACGCCTCAGGTCAGCCAATCACAATCTGACTGAGGTTTAATAGAAAAGATTTAAAGGAGGATGTCAGCCTGCTACCCATGATGCTCTGTGTCCGTCTCCAGCTTCATCATCAGCCTGACTGTTGCCGTCTTACGGCGCCTCCTCCTGGTTGCTGCTCTGTTTCTGCAGCTCAGCTCGCTGGTTGCTCCCGTTCTTCTTGCTTCCCTCCCTGGTGGTGGACGATGACGACGTGACCTTTAAGCTCTTTGATGTCTTGGTTCCACGGATCTTCTCCTTGTTGGCGGCGTCCTGAGGCAGCGAGGGGCTGGAGTGCGTCCTCTGCAGGCCTCCGTCGTCAAACAGCCGAGACTCGAAGGCCGTCAGGTCCTCGTCTCCGCTCGCCAGCTTGGCTCTGAGCAGCATGGCGTACGTACCGTAACGAGTTTTCTGTAGAGGACAGAGACGGAGACAATGTCCCCATCAGTGAGGCCATCGCACACGTGTGGCCTTTTAGAGTATGACGTCACTGAGGGTCACACGTTCAGACTAATATGAAACTACAGCCAGCCACTGTTAGCTTAGCTTAACATAAAGACTGGAGACAAGGGGAAACAGGTAGCTTGGCATAAAGACTGCTAACAGCTAGCCTAGCATTGTGAAGCATCATCATCAGTTTAAATTCAGTTCATGTTTTATCTTCATTATGATGAAATCATAATGAACGACATCAGCTCTGTAACGAGCTAAGAAACAGCATCGTGTTGTGATCGTCACGTTCCCGACAGTCTGACACCAAACAAACTGAAGCTGATGATGTCAGACCGTGTCACCGCTTATGAATTCATTCTAATTAAAAATCGAACATTTATTTTGTGTTATCTGCTCTTTTAAAAACAGGAAATGACCCGGCATGAATCTCACCTCAAACTCCAGGTAATCCTGTCGGAGTTTCTGTTCCTCCATCTCACGACCTTTGACCTTTCGGTTCGGCGTGGAGGCCGTCAGGTCGGCCAGCTCGGAAGAAACGGCCCTGAAGCGGTTTTCGTGAGTCTTGACCTGCTCATCCTGTCAAGACAAAGCAAAGCATTCTGGGATTTGTGCTTTTTCCACATATCGAGTTTACCCACAATCCCCAGCGACTCTCTGTCATCTGTACCTGGGATAGTTTGGTGTTGGATCCCGGCAGCAGAGGGCGACTGAATCTCTTCTGAGAGCCGATCGCCGCCGGGAAGGGTGGAGCTGAAAACATGGCCGCCACCACGTTGATGCGCGTGATCCATGACTGCATCTGTTCTGCGTTCCTGCAAGAAAAACAAAGATCTGAAGCGGCTGGACTCAGACGACGTCACTGACGGTTCATCTGGTTTGTTTGTGGAGAAATGAAAGTCCTGTTGATGTGGTCAAAAAAAAAGAAAGAAAAGTGAAACGACCTTTGAGTCTTTCTGCGTTTTATGACTCGATGTTCTTTCCTCTGACGCATCTTGTTCTGTTGAAACCGTTGTTTCATTTAATTTAGAGACAGTTCCCTGATTCATCTTCAGGACAGGATGAATAATAAATAAAGACTTAATAAAATCAGAGTGAGTCACATGTTTCAGTCTAAAGATGAGTTTCATTGGAGTTTATTTTAAAAAGTTTCACCCTTTGTATTTTTTAAGGTCTTTGTCCTTCACATGTTTTAATCTTCAGTAAAAATTCTTTGGTTCATGATGAAACTGTCAAGGTCAAAGGTCAAAGGTCAGAGGTCAAAGGTCGTCAGCTGAGTCGATTCCTTCAGCGTGGCCCAGGACATGTTCACACTGACAAAAGTATGTGGACACACATGTCTCAGAACCTCCCACTGTGTCCGAGGCTTCATCCACACGACTTAAACCAAACTACAACCATCCTCATCCACAGGAACACGTGACCAGGCACGTGCACTGTTCATGCACGTGTCAGTGTAAACAGCTGTAAGAACATCTGGTCTCCTCCACATGTAAACAGCTGTATCATTGTAAAACACAGACTTTAACTGAACATCAGCAAAGACAACACGTTGTTTCTACTACAGGAGGTCACGTGACAGTGAAGACAACATAGCGACAAAAGATCCAATCAGCACGTCATTGTTTCCAAACATCTCAGATTCTGATGTCCAGAGATTTCAAACCAGCAGCGTTTGTGTGGAGACGTGTGGACGTAGCAGAGATTCTGAGTTTTAAAACCCAAACGTTGTGTGTGGACGGAGTCTTGATGAACTGATCCCAGTGAGTCCTGGATGTTTCACACCTGAACTCAGAGCTGGAGTCACATCACCTGTTTGTTCTGGTTCAATAACCAAACAAATAATAATAATAAAATAAATAGATGTTGTGTATGAGCAGAGGTGTGTGTGTGTGTGTGTGTGTGTGTGTGTGTGTGTGTTCTTACGGAGCCTGGAACAGGAACACCCTCCAGTCGGCCGTCCTCAGGTAGAACACGTTGGGCCTCTTGCTGTAGTCGGCCGCCCTCATGGCGAGAGAGTGATGGATGGACACGGCGTTCTTCACGTCCTCTTCTGTCAACTCCCGCTCCGCACGGTACTCGTCCTGTTGGCCAACCACAGAGCAGCGTGCAGGTGAGGCAGTGACATCACAGATTGACGGTCTGTGATTGGTCAGACTGGATTCCCAGTGTTTGTTATGTTAGTGATTTAAATACCATTTAAGTTAAACATTTTTAGAAGAACAGAAAAGGTTTTTTTTTTGTTAAAATAAACGATGGAATTGTTTTATGTAACTAAATCATTTCCAGAGTCGACCTGAAGGTCAAACAAGCAGAATCAACCAATCAGAGGGAAGATGTGGACATCACGACGCCAACAGACCTGACGGCCAGGATTCTTTTCTTCTACTCAAAGTGGGCTAAGACCCGCCCCTAGTCTCCCTAGTCTGCCTCTGATTGGTTGAGATTTAAACAACGACATCACAAAATAAAAGACGCTTTATTGAAATGGTGTCAGATATTTCAAAATAAAAGTGTTTCAAAGAGTAAAACACATCGGTTCTGTCTCTGACCTGAAATCAGTCGGATCTGGCACATGCATCTAAAAATAGGCGTGGTGTGTGAGACAGGGGCTGCTGGGTAATGTAGTTCATGTATTTACCTTCTGCAGGTAGAGCACGAGACCCTTCAGCAAGATGTAGAAAGACTTCCAGCCCCTCTTACCCCGCGGCGCTGGAGGAAACAAGGCATCATGGGAAATTATGCATCATGAGTAAACGTAACATATTGTGACAAGGAAAAAAAAAAAAGATTAAAATTGAACAACCATTAATTTTGTATTAACTCAAGAAGAAGTGACGTACTTCTCTTTCCGTCAGGGTCGGCGTGGACTTTGCGAACCAGGAAGCCGCTCTTGTAGAGCTCGCCGTCCACCTGCTGGGCAACGCCCACCAGCGGGTTTCCTCCACTACCCAATCGCTTCATGGTGTGGGAGGCGGAGTCTGTTCGGACGTCAGCCAGCTCCGACATCGACTTCCTCAGCTCCTCTTCATCACTTCAGCAGAGAATAAAAAACAGACGTTTGTCAGGTCCAGTGACCTCATCCTGACATCACTTCCTCCCAGAAAACATCTGGTCATCTGGTTTCTGATCTGGAGAAAAATCCCCTGAAGCTGCACGAGATAAATTCAGTTTCTCTTTTGAACAAAAATCTTTGATGTAACACTCGTTTTGACCACCAGAGGCAGTACTGCCAGATTTAAACTCGTAAACTTTAGACGTCACTTTGGTTCTTTGAGACGAAGCGATCAGAAATGAATCAGGAATAGTCTCAACACCTGATTTCCTCTCACAATGGATCAATAATCACTTATAGATATATTTATATCAAATATTAAATCCTTGTGTCAGGACGTCGTCATCTCAACGTCTCATCTCCTTTTGTTTTTCATTTCGACAGAGAAGAGGCTGAACTCGAGGAGGACCGATGCTAAATGCTAACAAGACGCCTGGACGTGTGTGTGTGTGTGTGTGTGTCAACAGTCAATGGGCTGACCTGTAATTACAAAAAGGAAAGAAGCAGGGAACGGTTACCATGGCAACAGAGGCTTAAATATGGGAGTCGGGGCAGCAGCAGGGACACACACACACACACACACACACACACACACACACACACACACACCTCAGATGTTGATGATGAAACTTACATGGTCCACTGCAGCTTCTCGTTCTTGATGGAGCTGTAGAGAGTCTGAGGAGACACAACAAAGAGTCACATGTACTGTGTGTGTGTTTGTTTGTGTGTGTGTTTGTTGGGGGGGGGTATTCTTCTGTTGATCTGAGTGAAACATTAATAATAATTATTAAATATGATTTAAAACAGGCACTGGTTTCAGTCCGACTCAGAGTGTCACTATGGTGACAACAATTAAAGAATCCTTTTTGTCACTATGACGACCGCAACATGCAAACTGTTTATTCTCGTCTAAACAAGAAGGAAACTCATTTTCTTTTTAGACGCGAACGTTGAGATTTTCTGAGCTAACTGTGTTTTCACGTCATGTGATCTGTGGTATTGTAGCGCCCTCTCATGGCCCATCAATAACACGTTAATAATAATGATTGGTTGAAGTCTGTGTTTCCAGGTTCTCGCGGTTCTACCTTCTTCTTACGGCTCTGCAGGTGCTGCTGTCCGTCCTGGGTTTTTCCCAGCAGGTCGGGGAACGCCAGTGGTTTGAGGGAGCGGGAGCGGGGGGTTCTGGGATACCTGAACGGGTCTGTGTCCCTTGAGTCTCGCCCGCTCCGGACCGAGCAGAGTGACCGAGAGCGCATGCGGCCTGAGGAGTGGATGCTGTTGACACCGATCATGGTGAAGATGTAAGTTTCCTTAAGTCTGACTGAACGTTTGAGTCTTTAAAGGACGAAGAGCAACCAAAGAAAAAGTGAACCAACAGTCAGATTGACGTCAAACTGCAGGAAGAACTTAATTCTGTCCAAAACCCTCGTCCACCAACTTCACTGACTCCTCCCCAACTCAACATAGAAATAAAAAACACCTTTGGACGACCTCCAAAAAATAGTTTCCTTTTGACCAGAAACAATTTAGTCCAGAGTTTCTTCAAAAACAGAGTTTAGATTCTGATCCAGGTGTGAAGAACAAACAGAAACATGAAACCGAGACGAGGAATCAGACAAGGAGGCCGAAAACAAGAGTGTGATGACGGTTGTTTGTGAGCGACTGTCAGAGTCGTGTCCTCAGAGCTCAGCCTGCTGCATTATGGATCCAGCTTTATTCATTATACATAAAAACACAGCAGCGTTCGTCATAATCCTGCTGCCTGACGGCCGGCGACTTCATCAGCTGCTTGGAGGAAAAAACACAAAACTAAAACACGTCTGCGACGAACAGAAATCAGAGCTGATGGACACGATGTCGACACCAGACTGAAGATTCAACGTCTTTAAGGTTCGGTTTGAGGTTCTGTTCACGACACACAAACAAACATCTCGAGGATAGAGAGCAGTTAAGTTAAACAAAGTGAGAACCAGTTATTACTGTTGAATAAAACACAGATATTGAGTCGGTTTAAATCGG